GCGAGCGGCTAGGGGCCGGGACAGGCGGCGCGCGGGCGGCTAAGGGCCGGGACGGGCGGCGCGCGGGCGGCTAGGGGCCTGAACGGGCGCGCGCGGGCGGCTAGGGGCCGGGACGGGCGGCGCGCGGGCGGCTAAAGGCGGCGCGCGGGCGTCTAGGGGGGGCCGCAGGGCAGGCCGAAAGAGTGAGAGCGAGGGCCCGGAGCGCGCTCTGGGCAGAAAAAAAAGTTTAAAAATGGTGGGCCCTAAGCACAGTTCCCACGGGGGAACCTGCTCGATACCATGTGGAGAATAGAACGAGAATGGATGAACTATGAATGAAGTGAGTACATATAGGAAACCCTAGTTGGGTTGTACCCCCTATGGGATACCCCACTACCGCCTACACAATAGCATAAGCTATATATATGTTCTGACATCCGGGGGAGCATAGGTGAGGATGAGGTCGCGCGTTGCGAGGTCCGTGTGAATGATGACGCCGCAATCGCGGAGCTGTCCAGCGGAGAGCAAGTTGAAGCGCAGATTCGGGACGTAGAGTACGTCGTTGAACGAGATGTGTGTGTTGCTGTCTCGTGCTTGCAGGACGACAAGTCCTTGTGAGTTGGTGCGCGGTTGCTCGTTGTTGGCGACGATGACATAAGTTGCAGGAGCGCGGCTTAGGTTAGAGACGTAGCGCGTGGATCCCACCATGTGATGTCCGCAGCAGCTGTCCAGGTACCAGGTGTTGTAGTTGTCGGTGTTGTTACGCCGTAGTAGCAGCGCCAATCGCGGAGTTACCAGGGTGGTCTTGAAGCGCCTGTGGAAGTGGGGATCTTCGTCCTCCTTCCAGCCTACTGGTACGTAGTTCTGATTTTCGTGAGGCGGGCTTTCCCGCAACGTGATTGGAAGATTCCACTCCTGCTCGTCTTCGTCGTACAGGTAGTGGTGATCCTCGGTGAAGGGATTATTCTATCCCTCTTCTGGTTCCAGAAGTCTTCCTTGCACTTCGTTTTCCTCGTCAGGTTCAGTGGTGCGCCGTCGTCGTGTCGCCATGTTTGCGATGACGTTCCTGGGAGCTCCTGACTGTGATCCTTGATTTTGCTGGTGTTGAGCAGGAGGACGAGCTGGCTGATGCTGAGGTTGAGGATGACGAGCGTCTTGTCGGCCGACCCAGTTGTGGTGAGTGGAATTTGGGTGGCGGTGGTTGGATCGAGATTTGCATCTATCCGTTGAGTGTCCGAAGACTTTGCATATTTTGCAGTAATGGCGCCTCGGTTGTCGTCGCTCTTTTCGGTTGTCCGTATAGAAGGCGAGGCGCTCTCGACGCGGCGCGGAGCTTGTTCTGCTCGAGTCCATATCCTGCTGTTCGGATAGGAGAGCGGCGCATAGCGCGGCTTCTGAAATTGTTCCTCGCTGTCGGAGTAACGCCTTGCAGGGCTTCCACTCAGGCCCGAGTCCTTGAAGGACTATATTGACGAAAATCTCTTCTGAGATCGTACTCCCATGCTTCGTGATCTGGTCACGGATGTTGCGACAGCGGTTAATGTATGGATTTGCCTTCTCCCCGTGCCCCATTTTTATCTCCAGAAGTTGCTGGAGAAGCCTGCTGGCCGTGACGGAATCCTTCGGCTGGTAAACTTCAACGAGGTGCTTCCAAGCTTCCATTGCTGGAGCGTCGCTCTCTTTGTAGGAGCGTATGTTGAGTTGTTCCGCAGGCGTCATGTTGCGTAGCAGTACGCTGTAGGCCATGAGGGACTCACTGTAGTACTGAGCCCTGGCGACGTCGGTGTTTTCCACCGGTTTAGGGTCAGAGCCGTCGAAGTAATGGTAGATCTGCGCTGTTTGTAGGAGGAGCTCCAGCTCAAAACTCCATGTATAGAAATCCTTGCCGTCAAACGCGGCGGTAGTCTTAATTTTTGAAACGTTGAGGAAGCGTGTTTGCGCAGAGTTTATAGCCTCATCACTTGGTCGGGGGGCAGTTGTTGCTGATTTATCTGTGTCGAGAGAGAAGGTGTGCGCGGCGGTATCACGGCTTTTCTCAGCCGGTTGTCCAGGTTGTGCTGGTTGGGAAGAGATTCCCGCATCGCCTTTGCGCAGTTCTTGGAGTTCTTTCTCCGTAGTTGAAAGTCGAGCGAAAAGTTGCTCGAGGGCGGCAGTGCCGATCGTGGTTGTCGCCTCACTTGTCGTAGCTGGATTAGGTTGTCCTTCAGCCGTCAAATTTGCTTGGCCTCCGGATCCTCCGGCCATCTTGGTCTTGGAGCGTGTGCCGCTCGCCAGATTTTGGTTCGGCAAATTTACTTAAGTGAAGTTGCGAAGAATTCATGAGTAGCTCTCATACCATGTTACAATCCCAAGTGGGACTTAGCAAAGGATCGCTCAGGGTTGATCGCGGGAGTAGTTGCAGCGGAAGTTTGAATCTCAGGTCATAGTGAAAGTAAAATGACTGAGTTGATAATAACATGCATACATCGAGTTTATATAAGAGTACAAGGGAATATGAAAGGACCTAGCTAGCCATGTACTCTAAGGGGTACATTCCCTTATTACAACTGATTTCAGAAACCGTGCGGCGCGGGAAACCCGTTCAAAAACCGTTCCCGCTCTTTTCACTGTAAGTGTTTCTGCCTGCATCGGTCTTGATCCGACGGTTAGTGCGTTGCTTCGGCTCTTCTGACTCCTCAGCTTCGTACTCGGTAGAGTCGGCTCCTGCAGCGTACAAGAATGCCTTCTCATAAAAACTTCGCATCGTAACATGTCTTATATCCGGGCGATGACGGTACCACTTCCAGCCCCTATGCATTTACCTCACCCATCTCTTCAACCCACTAGAACTGGTAGCAACTTGTGCAGAGTTTCCAAAATGATTAGAAATCGGCATATTTGTTGAGTTTGGGCGACAGGGTCCACATTACTGCCATATTTTTGCACACCACGATATGAATGGATGGAAGGGCATATATAAAGAAGCATTTAGGGAAATACAAACCGATAGTGTAAAGTCTTAATCTGCAATAAGGGTGTCGCAACAATTCTGTTCGGAGGCGCAGCAACACGGGTCTCTGTACAAGCACTCTCGTCTGCTCTTGACTCTCGAGAAGGGTACAGAGGAGCACAAACGCCCTTGATTTCTCACCGCGCTTCGATACCTTCAACCCAATCTTTCCATATACAGTATCGGGTTGCAAAATTGACGGCTCGCATCGTACTGTACTCAGCTTATCGTATGATGAGCAAGGGATCTTCGATTCTTCGTGTGATGGTAGTTCCACAACACATTCCAGCGCTTGTTTGAGATGTCGCGACTCACGACATATCTTGCTTCCTTGTTCCCTCGACTTGTGCAGTTGTAAACATGGGCCCTCCTCGTCCTTGGTCTTGCGTCGAGGGGACACGAAAATCCTGATGCGACATGCCCCCGAAAGCAAGTTTGGTCAGGGTGGATACTTTTATTTGTGGATTACGTTGTCGCGATTTTTTCATGACTTTCGCCGAGTCAGCATCACCGACCCGCAACGTTGTGTGAGATTGTAGGGGAGGGGAGTTATTGGAGCACAGGCCAGCATAGAGTTGTTGCTACACCAGACCAGAGCCATGCTGGCAGCACCGCAATCGAGGCGCCATGTCTTGTCCCTGACGTGACGTGACGACAAGTCTAGTCGTGCTGATGCGACCTCCCTCAGACAGCGCAGTAGTACAATACGCATACGAGAGCAGCGATGCGCCTCGACAGGGAATGTTAGATGCGTTGGGCATCTTTGGCTGCTCATACTGCTAACAGCATAAGACCATCCAGTCTCAAGGCAGATTTATAGAACGAAGCCTATTACCCAACGCGACCTTCTATCTGATCGCGCTTTGATTATATCTAGCGTTTCCGGTTGAGCGCCTGTTTCGCCTCGTTTGATTAGTATCTGCCACGCAAGTCGTACATATAAGAATGAACGCTCTACGCTTCTCTCTCCTCGCGCTCCTCGCGGCGGCCCTCGTGCTGCACCTGCTGCCCGCGCGCGGCACCGCGTTCCCCGTCGAGTCGGCGATCGCAAACGGCGAGCTCAGTTTTGACGACGCCGGCGACAGAGTCGCAAACTTCCTCGGCGACGACGCCAGCGATTTTCGCAACCTAGCCGGCAGTAGTAGCGGCGAGGCGACCGGCGACGAGGGCGGCGCAAAGTCCGGCAAAAAAGGAGGCTCGAAAAAGCGAAAGTCAAAGAAGCACGGGAAGGGAGCCTCCACGGCCGGCAATTTTGTGTTCTGCCCCTACGCTAGCTAGTCTGGCGGGTCGCTGAAGGCCGAGAAGTGCGGCAGTGTGGCTGCATTGTGAGTTGCACGGGAAACCGACGCTCTGAATTGCACATCGTGCATTTTCGCTGCGTTACCCTGTTTCGCTTCCACTTTCTGTGCGTCATGGCCACCGTCGCCTGAACTACTTGGTTCGCTTGTTTGCGTGTCCCTTTTCCCACTCCTTTTCGCCAATCCTCCCGTGCCGCCGCGGCAAGTCAACTCAAGACTGTCGCAGTGGGTTCCGCAGAGCCCCCCCTAACCTTTCCACATGCGCCCATTCCCGCCCCCACCTCGCTCCCTCCCTCCAGTTTCACAGCCTACGCAGTCCGCGCTGCCAGCCTAATGACCTGCATTCGGCGCTCGTGTGGCGTTTCTGCTACTATTAGTGCAAAGCTCTGCTTCCATGTGATGGGTGCTCTTGGAATGTGTAGTTGCTGCAATGCATTTGTGGGGAAAGTGCATGTCTCGAGTTCCAACCATTGTTGGGGGTTAGCATGAGAGTTAGGCACCATGTGTCATGCCATTGGAAGATTGTGCTGGAAAAGGTACCCTACCAGAACTGTAATTACCAACGTTCAGCTTTCTTCCCTCCTATAAACTTCTCCACAATGAGAACTCTCTGAGAATACAAAAAATCTTAGCTCAATTCACATATTATCCTCCCCCTGATGAATCAACAAGCATCCCACCTTCACATCCATGCAAAGCACATCCCCATTCCCTCCTGATCGCCTTGACCACTTTTACAAAAACTTTCGGCTGCCCAATTGTGCACCCGAGAACCGCCCGGAAAGGCCCTGAGCCATGCCGTCTGCCGTCCACTTCATGGCCTTGGGCTTGACCTCTAGATCCTTCTCCCTGTCCCACATCCGCCACCCTGCATTCCCGCCTCCCCCTCTCTCTCCCTCCCCTTTCCCCTTCCCTTTCTCCTTCCCCATGCTCTTTTTCTTGGCCCCCTCGGCCTGTTTCTTCCGGTGCTGCTCCACCAATGAAACGGCTTGCTTCTGGGCGGCAAGATTGTCCACTAGCGCCGCCGTGCGCTTGTCCTGTAGTGACTGCAGGGCGGCAGCTGAGTCAGCAGAAGGGCCCTCGAGGGCATTGGCAGCAGAGGAATAGGCCTCCAGGTACCTGAAAGAAAGGTTCAGTTGGGATCAGTCAGGATTGGGGCAACGCAGGGTGGGGAAAAGACGGCATTGGCAGCAGAGGAGTAGGCCTCGAGGTACCTGAAAAGAGGGTTCAGTCAGAACCGGTTGGGGGAGTTGGGTGCAACGCCAGGCGTGGAAAAAAGGGAATGATGGGTGCATGATGGGAACATGCCACCAGGGGCGTGGGTGTGGGTCCAGTAAGGGGTAACGATGGAGGGGTGGGGTTTGTTTTGGGCGCCTGGACTGGTCATTGGACTCTCCAATACAGATACGTAACAACACATTGGGCTGGCGCTCACTGTTGCTTAGCCACGTGAAAAAAGAGTTGTTTTGAGACGTCCCAAAACATGTTTTTTGTCATGTGAGTTTGGGCCCCTGAACTGGTCCTTGACCTTGGCCTCTCCAGTACAGACAACTAACACACATTGGGCTAGCACTCACTGTTGCTTGGCTCTGGCAGCTCGCTGCTCGGGGTTGTCGGTCCATGCTGACGTGTGAGGTGAGCGTGTGAGGGGGAGGTAAAACAGGGATGCAGGGTGGTGCAGCGTGGTGCGGAGCGGTGAAGTATGGAAACTAGCACTCACTGTTGCTTGGCCCTGGCAGCTCGCTGCTCAGGGTTGTCGGTCCATGCTGACGTGTCGCCCCGTCCCACTTTGTCACTGCGACTAAAGAATGTGTTGGTCTGAGCTGGCGGGCGGGCCTGAGAGGGTACGGACGGGGGGAGATGGAGGTGGGGGGATGTGATTGGTTTGAGGTTGGGTGGGTGTGTGCGTGGAACATGCGTGCATATTGACTTGGTGGCTTAGAAGAAAATGCTGTGGTTGAAATGCACCACCATGCGTGTGACATGGTGCTCACCAGCGAACTTTTGAGTCGACTCAAAAGTCAAAAGTCAACTTATGAGTCAACTAAAAAATGCTGTGGTTGAAATACACCACCATGCGTGTGACATGGTGCTCAGCAGCGCCCACCAGAGCGACCAGCACGCAAGCAACGCCCACCACAGCGACCAGCACACAAGCAACGCCCACCACAGCGACCAGCACACAAACAACGCCCACCACAGCGACCAGCACACAAGCAACACCCACCACAGCGACCAGCACACAAGCAACGCCCACCACAGCGACCAGCACACAAGCAACGCCCACCACCGCGACCAGCACGCAAGCAACGCCACCAGAGCGACCCGCATCTCCAACTCCTGAATGTGGCTTCAACCCAAGCAGCAGCCACCACGGCAGATAAACTTCCCCCAACCCTTTCTCGACCCCTGTAATCTTGAGGTTCTGAGCCGTTCTTTCATATGAGGGCCTTGTGTTTGTCACGTGTGAGTCGTGACCGAACCATTCCGTCGCAAGAAAAGCTCCATCATCGTTCGTGCAATCCGATCTGATTTGATTCTGGTGCGTGTTCCTCCATAGGCATGTTTGCAATGCCACTCAACTTGCGCATGGGCAACGTTCCACCGCGAGCCCATCCGAAGCCAATCGAAAGCCCACTGGGAGCCCATTGCCACACTGCACCACGCTACACCACACTACGCCACACCATGCCACAGCACACCGTGCCACACCCACCTGTCGTTTGGGTGGCAGCTCTGCCATCCATGTCTCGCGCTCCACACCCTCCCTCCCGTCTCGCCCTCTCACCGCCGACCTGTCACGAGGGCGGCAGATTCATCACACCATGCCACACCACACCACACCACGCCACACCATGCCACACCACACCGCGCCACACCCACCTGTCGTTTGAGCAGCAGCTCCGTCATCCATGTCTCGCGCTCCACGCCCTCCCGCCCGGCTCGCACTGTCACCACCCACCTGTCACGAGGGCGGCAGATTCATCACACCATGCCACACCACACCATGCCACACCACACCATGCCACACCACACCACACCATGCCACACCACACCATGCCATACCACACCACACCACACCCACCTGTCGTTCAGAAGGCAGCTCTGTCATCCACGTCTCGCACTCCATGCCCTCCCACCCCCCTCGCCCTCTCACTGCCCACCTGTCACAAGGGCGGCAAATTCATCACACCATGCCACACCACACCCACCTGTCGTTCAGGAGGCAGCTCTGTCATCCATGTCTCGCGCTCCATGCCTTCCCGCTTCGCTGTGCCCAGCAGCTCGTCATCCCCGGGCAGGGCCTCGCCTGGTGGTGAAGGGCAGGTAATGACTGGGGTCAACAGCAGTCAAGAGTAGCTAACCCCCCTCCTCCCCCGCTCTCGCTGTCCCCCGCAGCTCCTCATCCCCGGGAATGGCCTTGCCTGGTGCATGCATGCATGCACAGTCAAGGCAAGTCAAGGACAGTCAAGGGCAGTCAATGGTGGTCAAGGGCAGTCAAGGGTATTCAAACGATTTAAAGCATAGCAACTGATGATGGGTGGAGAAACTTGCAACCATCATGGGTCAGACATGGTCAGGCACAGTGAGGCACTGTCAGGCTCATGGTATTACTTCAGAGAATTCTCAACAGTGTTCTTGGAAACGGCAACAGTCCAAGCACTCTACTGTCTCTGCTCCATCCGCTCCCATCGCATCCACGCCGCCACCTCTTCCCGCCCGCCCCTTGCAACCTCTCCTCCCTCTATCGCCCCCACGCACCCTCCCCCACCCATCCCTCTCCTTCATCCCCCCTCTGCCCTCCCCCCTTCCGCTCTCACCCCTGCCCCACCCTTCCGCTCTCACCCCTGCCCCACCCTTCCGCTCTCACCCCTGCCCCACCCTTCCGCTCTCACCCCTGCCCCACCCTTCCGCTCTCACCCCTGCCCCACCCTTCCGCTCTCTCCTCTCTGCTCCCCCCTGCACCCACCTCTGAGCTTGCGCCACTCGGCTGCCTCCCTCAGCGCCCTTAGCTCCGCCTGAGGGGGTGGGGAGGGGAGGGGGAAGGGGACAGATGGAGACGAAATGAGAGGAGGAGGGTATGGGTTGACGGAAGAGGAAGATGGGAGATGGGAGATAAGAGAGTGGCAATGAGCCGTGGGATTGGCATGGCAACATGGAGACCTCTCCCCGTGCCCCCATTCCCCCCATTTTATCCATCCCCCATTCGCCAATCCCCCCATACTATCCTTCCCCCAATACCCCATACTCTCCTCCCCCCATTCCCCCATTCTATCCTTCCCCCAATCCCTCGCCATCCGGTTCTCATCGTTTCCAAGACGTTATCTGAGCACACATATGCCTTTCATTGCAGAACGCACATCCAACTTTTATCCCACCGATAACATCCCTCGTGTCCCACCAACGCTCATATCCCACCAGAAAACCCTTCCATGCCCTCTCCCTCTCACCTGCATGGCCGTGTGCTCCTCTCAGGCTACCATCTCCGCATCCACCACCGATTTCTGCACTCCTTCCTTCACCTCGCCATACCCCACTGCCCTTTTCCCTCATACACCCCATACTCTGCTCCACCAAAATACCCCTCCAATCCTCCCATGTCCTCTCTCTCACCTCCATGGCCTTGCGCTCCTCCCTCGCTGCAATATCTGCATCCACCACCAATCTATGCATGCACAGCCACGCATGGCCATGCACACATGCATGCGCACGCATGCACACACATGCACACCCCCTCCTGTCCTCCTTGCCCTCTCACCTCCAATTCTTTGCGCTCCTCCCTGGCTGCAATCTCTGCATCCACCACTGATCTCTGCACATTCAGCCATGCACACACAGCCATACACAGCCATGCACACACAGCCATACACAGCCATGCACGCACATGCCATGCAATGGCCCGTAGCCTCTTACCTCCATTTCTTTGCGCTCCTCTCTGGCTGCAATCTCTGCATCCACCACTGATCTCTGCACACACAGCCATGCATGCACACAGGTCCAAAGAAATGCACGCACACAGGTCCAAAGAAATGCACGCACACATGCAGACAGAGGCACACGCATGCACGCACACATGCATGCACATATGAACAGACACGTACACGCGCGCATATCCAATAAAAGTGATAAGAGCAGGATGCAGAGCACGCATGCCAAGATGTTTAAGCGCATGCAAATGCATGTATGCACGGAGCGATAAAGGTTTGCATGGATGTAAGCATGCAGGGATATAACCATCCAGGGATATATATGCTGCCGAGCAGCCAACGGGGGTGTAGCTCACATGGTAGAGCGATCGCTTTGCATGCGATAGGTAAGGGGATCGATGCCCCTCACCTCCACTATTTTGATACCCCATTTCTAGAAGAATGAAACCTGACATAGAGGCTGGTCTGTCACAGAAGATTTTGATCTCACGTCAAGATCAGATTTTTTCACCTTGGTGGGTTGGTGCGGTGCTCAAGTGTCCCAAATTGCATGAGCGTTGTCCTTGATTGGGTGGGCTCTAAGGTGGGCTAAAAAGACCCCAACTTTTGGAAGATCAGGCGTGGTCCGCACACATCGGCCTTAAAGCTCGCGTCTCATATTTCCAACCGTTTAATACTTGGTTGGGTTTGCCCGACTGTGATTGGGTAACGAAAACGAAATATTTGACGAGTGGGCGAAAAAATCACAGCGAACTACCAAAACAGTCGAGGCCAAAACGAACCAGGGTGGGTTGGTTTGGGTGGAAAACGAGCCAAGGGGGACAGGTTCGGTCCCCCCTTCTGTCAACGTTGAGTTTCAGAGTCTCATATTTTTGGAAGTTGTAAACGCTTGGTGTGCACGGGAAGTGTGCGACAGCCAACTTTCCCAAACCACCCCTTGCTTTGGTGTGCTTTGCGACAAACTTTGCTGTTACCAAATTCCAACCGTTTAACACTTGGTTGGATAGCAGAAATATGAGACGCGAGCTTTCAGACACGATATGCATATGCACATGCGAATGCATGGTTGCATGCCTGACTCTGGGTTGATAGCAGCCTGAAAAGGGGGGGGCTTCCAGAGCAGCGCACCTTACTGGGGTCCTTGAGTCGGTTCACTGCATCGTTAAGCCTCACATGTACACGCGCCTGTGCATACATGCATGCATGCATGCGTGCGCTGCCAAGTGGCGCACATGCGCCTGTGCATACATGCATGCATGCATGCGTGCGCTGCCAAGTGGCGCACCTTACTGGGGTCCTTGAGTCGGTTCACGGCGTCGTTCAGCCGCAAAAACGCCTCCTGCGCGCGCGGGTGGCTGCACTTGTCCGGATGCACCAGCAGCGATGCTTTCCAGTAGCTGTGCGTGGAGGGGGGACGGAAAGGGGAGTAGGGATGGGGACGGGTTACGGATCCGTGTTGTGGGATGCAGATGGTGCAGGAATAGGAGGTACGAGGCAGAAACGCCTCCTGCGCTCTCTGGTGGCTGCACTTGTCTGGATGCACCAGCAGCGATGCTTTCCAGTAGCTGTGTGCAGTGGAAGGGGGGGGGGAGAAGAAAAAAGGCATGAAAAGGGATGGAGGGAGGGGCATTTAGGATTCATGGGGTGGAGTGAAGATGGTCCGGGAAGCTACTATTCCTGAGTCCTGACGCCTCCTATACACATGCAGAATGCACATGCACCAGCAGAGGTGCTTTCCAGTAGCTGTTTGGAGTGGACGGGGGGGGGAGAAGAAGTAAGGGAAGGAAGGAATAAAAAGGGATGGAGGGAGGGGCATTTAGGATTCACGGTGTGGAGTGAAGATGGTGTGGAATGAAGATGGTGTGGGAAGCCATTCTTCCTGACGCCTCCTGTGCATGCGTGGCTGCACTTACCTGGACGCACATGCACCAGCAGAGGTGCTTTCCAGTAACTGTTTTGAGATGCATATGCACCAGCAGAGGTGCTTTCCAGTAACTGGGAGGGGTTTGGTTTGGTCAAAAGGGCTGGCATGGTAAAGGGGACGGGGATGGGATAGGATCATAGGGGCAGTGGAGAAGCGCACTGATGCCTTCCAGGCTTCCAAGCACTACCTGAGAAGGGGTGGTAGAAAGGAGACTATTAGACATGATCCAGCGAATGGACTCGTGGGTTTCGTGGGGGCAGTGGAGAAGCGCAGCGCACTGATGCCTTCCACTACCTGAGAAGGGGTGTTAGAAAGGGATGCGAATGGATTCCTGGGTTTTGTGTCCCTTCTCTAAGCCACCCACACACATTCCTGGGTGCCGGACAAATGTGGGTGGGCTTAGAGAAGGGACTGGAGGCAGAGAGATGCAGGTGAACAAGAAACAGCTTTGATAAGAAGGGATACGCGAGGAGGCAAGGGGAGAGGCAGTAGGGAACGCATAGCATAGCAGCAGGAGGGAACGCATTGCAGCAGGAGGGAACGCATTGCAGCAGGCGGGAACGCATTGCAGCAGGCGGGAACGCATTGCAGCAGGAGGGAACGCATAACAGTTGCAGGATTGCACTAGCAACCTCCGAGTATCCACGTTCACAGCTCCCCACCCCCAGGGGTTTCCACCTCCAACCCCTCCTCTCCCCTTCCATCCTCCATTCTCCCCCTCCCGCCCCCTCCGCTCACCGCTTCTTAATCTCGCTGTCGCGTCACCCCCAGCAGCCCAAGCAGGATCATCAAGTTCATCCCCTCACCCCCCGCCTCCACCCTGACCTCCAATGCTTGATTCTCCCCCTCCCGCCCCCTCCGCTCACCGCTTCTTAATCTCGCTGTCGCCCGCAGCAGGCGTCACCCCCAAGATGGCGTACGCAGTCAGCTCTGGGTTGAGAATGCGCTCCACCTGTGGGGGGGGGAGAAGGAGGGGAAGGGCATGATGGAGGGCAGGCAGGCATGCAACACGCAGCAGCAGGCGTCACCCCCAAGATAGAGTACGCAGTTAGCTCCGGGTCCAAGATGCGCTCCACCTGGGGGGAAGGGGCGAGATGGGCATGTGTGAACATGCCTGCCATTCAAGCAGCAGCCGCAGGCGCAGCAGAGAGCAGGAGGGGAGGCATGATCGCAGTGAAGCACCTGTCACCCACCCCTACCTCTTACTCCCCACCTCCTTCCCTCACCCCCTTCCCCTCACCTCCTCGTATTTCTCCGCCTGGGTTGCGTTGGCTGCCTCAGCACCCAGGGCGGGCAACATGCCCCCCGCCCCTCGCCACTCCCCTCCCCTTGCCTCTTATTCCCCACCCCATTCAACACCCATCCCTCTCTCCCCTCACCTCCTCGTATTTCTCCGCCTGGGTCGCGTTGGCTGCCTCAGCAGCCAGGGCGGGCGGCATGGGGCCCACAAACGGGCTCTCTTGCAGCGCCTGCTCCGCCTCCCTGCAGTGATGGGTGGGAGGATGGGGGGTACAATGGGGGTGCGATAGGGGGGCAATGTTAGCGAATGCGCCTCAGCAGCCAGGGCGGGCGGCATGGGGCCCACAAAGGGGCTTTCTTGTAGCGCCTGCTCCGCCTCCCTGCGATGATTGATGGGAGGATGGCGGGATGGTGGGGGGTGATGATGCTGGGGTGATTGAGGGCTGATGGGGGGGTGATTGGGGATTGATGACGGGATGATAGGAGGATGGTGGGTGTGTGATGATGGGGGCATGATGGTGGATGGTGAGAGGATGCAGAGATGGTAGCGGAAAGATGACCAACACTCCTCTAGAGTACATGCTGAGCGTGGCTGCCACCCTCACTGCACACCTCACTGCACCTCACTGCACCTCACTGCACCCCAACTCACCCCATTCCCCCCTCCACACGCTCCACTCACTCCATCTCCTCCATGGCGCGTGTGAGCGACGCTGCAGCGGCCAGCAGCGCTGCTGTGCATCCACCCTATCCCAGTGCTCTCCCACCCACCCTTTCCCTGTATTCCCACGCCCACCCCTCGCCGCACCCCTCCCCCCTCCACTCACTCCATCTCCACAGAGCGGGTGGGCGACGCTGCAGCCGCAAGCTGCTGCCTTCACCTGAACCCATCCCCCCTCCCTTCATTCCCTCTCCCCAACCCTCCCCCTCCTCTCACTCCATCTCCTCCACGGCGCGCGTGAGCGACGCTGCAGCCGCCAGGTGCACCCACGCCCAACCCCCATCCCCCACCCCTCCTCCCTCTCCCCACCGCTCCCCCCTCTCCCCACCGCTCCCCCCTCTCCCCACCGCTCCCCCCTCTCCCCACCGCTCCCCCCTCTCCCCACCCCTCCCCCCTCTCACTGCATCCATCTCCCTTCCCCCACTCACTCCATCTCCTCCACAGCGCGGGTGAGCGACACTGCAGCCACGCCCAGCCCCCACCCCTCGCCCCCACCCCTCGCCCCCACCCCTCGCCCCCACCCCTCGCCCCCACCCCATGCACTCCCTCTCGCCATCCCCCCCAACTCACTCCATCACCTCCACGGCGCGCGTGAGCGATGCTGCAGCCGCCAGCTGCGCTGCCGTGGGCATGGCGGGGCCCATGCTGGTGCCGGGGACATGAGGAGAGGGGGATGGGGAATTGGGGGGAGATGGGATGATTTGCGGGGAGAGCTTGTGAGGGCACCAGCTGCGCCGCCGTGGGCATGGCGGGGCCCATGCTGCTAAGGGGAGGGGGGAAGGGGGGGAGGAAGAGTTGGGGGGAGTTGGGGGCGGGAGGGCGGGGGTTGGTTGGTGTGGAGGGAGGGGGGGCGGTGTGGAGGGAGGGGGGGCGGTGTGGAGGGAGGGGGGGGCGGTGTGGAGGGAGGGGAGGCGGTGTGGAGGGAGGGGAGGCGGTGTGGAGGGAGGGGGGGCAGTGTGGAGGGAGGGCTTGAACCGTGGGGTGGACCAGAGGGGTTTTACGGGTGGGCGCTGGGATGCTGCAGCATGGAAAGCACATGGCCCCAGTCCCCCTAAAAGCATGTGCCCTTGCCCCCCTCACACGCCCCCTCTTCCTTCCAGCACCTCTCTTCCCCCAAGCACCCCTCTCCCCCGGAATGCCCCTCTTACACACACCAAGCATCTCGATCCCCCGAATGCCCCTCTTACACACACCAAGCATCTCGATCCCCCGAATGCCCCTCTTACACACACCAAGCATCTCAATCCCCCGAATGCCCCTCTTACACACACCAAGCATCTCGATCCCCCGAATGCCCCTCTTACACACACCAAGCATCTCGATCCCCCGAATGCCCCTCTTACACACACCAAGCATCTCAATCCCCCGAATGCCCCTCTTACACACACCAAGCATCTCGATCCCCCGAATGCCCCTCTTACACACACCAAGCATCTCGATCCCCCGAATGCCCCTCTTACACACACCAAGCATCTCAATCCCCCGAATGCCCCTCTTACACACACCAAGCATCTCGATCCCCCCGAATGCCCTTGCTTCCAAAGTTCCAAACAAGTGCTGCTCACCGTGTTCTCCTCGCTGCCTCTGCTGTCTCTCCCCCCTCGCACCCCTCTCGCCCGGAATGTCCCACTTACACACACCAAGTATCTCGATCCCCCCGAATGCCCCTGCTACTGAACAAGTGCTGCTCACCGTCTTCTCCTCGCTGCCTCTGCTGCCTCTTCCCCCTCGCCCTCTCCCCTCCCTCTCCCTCCTCTCCCCACTCCGCCCTCCCCCTCCCTCTCCCCCTCTCCGTCTCCCCCCTCGTCGCCCCCTCCCTTCCGCGAGGGGCCTATCACCACTGCCGCTTCGTCTCCTCCCCTTCCTCCCCCTTCCGCCAGGTCGCTTCCGCCTTCCCTCCCCTCTCCGCGCTCTTCCCCCTTCCCCCCACTGCCACCATTTTCAGCCCCAGCAGCAGCAGCTTCAGGATCTGGCAGATTCTGCAGCAGTTTGGCCACTAGCGGCACGACACGTGGCAGGCAGCGCGGAGCCGCACTGGGAAGCTGATAGAGCGAGGCGCGCTTGCTCTTACCGCCTTTCCCTTTGCTCTTGCCTTGAGAATCAATCCCCAGCGAGCGGAAGATGCTTCCGAGAAGCTTCTTGAGGCGGCGGTCCGGGATGCCGCCAACGTCGACCGCCTCGCCGCCGTCGACGCGCTCGAGGAGGCGCACGAGGTCGTGCGACACGTCCAACGGGAACTCCCGCATCATCCGCCGCAAATCCCGCTCCAACCGATCTTCTGCCGACTCACCGTCCTGCTCGTGCCCCCTCCCGCCTTCCTTACTTCTCCGCTTCTCCTTCTCCTTTCCCCGCTTCTCTCGCCGCCGCTCACGCTTCTTGCCATGATCTGACGACGAATCGGAATCGCTGCTGCTCTCGCTCTCACTACTGCTGCTATTTCGACTGGAGCCCGACCAATCAGAGCTCGAGGCGTCATCGTCGCTTGAAGACCGTCGCTTCTTCTCCCGTCGTTTCCGTCGCCTCTCGCCTTTCTCCCGTCGCCCTCCTTTTCGCTCCTTCTCCTTCCTCTCCTTCCTCTCCTTCCGCCCCTCCTCGCCTCGCCTCCCCTTCCCCTCCTCCTCCCCGTCGCTCTCGCTGTCGTCGCCGCTGCGCTTCTTCCGCTTTCTGTCATCCATCGTCATGAGTCGTGTCGCCAGGTGGTGAAATGCGAATGATCAGGAAATCTTGCAACGACGTTAGGGTGACGACGATGAGTTTCAGTAGTGACAGCTCAGGGTCTGCAGGCCGTCGGGAATTGCGAAACTGTGTTATGAATCTGTAAGGAAAATTCCTTTTCCTTCGCATCCCTCCTCAACGCGTACATCACTGTAGCACCACAGTCAGCACCGTTACCACTCGCAATCCTCGCATCGACAATCCGCCCGCCACCTTCGCACGTCGCACCCCGACCTCACGGCTCGGCGGGTAACCCGCGCTCCGGGCCTCCGCTTCGACACTTTTCCCAACCTCCGTCCCAGGCCCGTCGCGCGACAACCACAGTCCAATACCGTTACCACTGTAGTTTCGCTATATATTCTTCGCTCATTCCTTCGCTCATTGTACTCTTGCTTCGATAGTGCAATTCTCGTTCGTTCACTCAATTGCACTCGTAACACTTGGTATTCAGAGCCTACGATCTCCTCTCGGACCGCACCCACACCTTCGCTTCCCCACTATCTCAATTTTTTGGGGGGGGTAGACGTCTCTCAGCGACACAGCACCGCCGTTCGTAGTGCTCTCTCGTAAGCACGCACGGCCACGACCGAGGCTCTCGCTGAGCTCGCCCGACACCCCCGCCATGGCCGAATTCACGCTCGCCACATTGACGCAGGAGCAGCTTGACTGTCTGGTGCGCCAACTTGGAGATTCGGCGCTCGAAATTGCGACGCTCCCGGCGGAACGTGACTCCGCCCGTCAGCAATCCACGGTGAACATTCCAGCGCCACCACACGCACCGACTAATGCATCTGCACAATCGGACGAGCCGATCGTCATTTCGTCCAGCACACCAACGCAACACGACAGCGTGGGACAACGCTCAGGTGCAGCCAGTGATGGCGCCGCCCAGCCGATGCCTGGCATGGGAGGAAACAGGGTCGCACCAAGCCCGCGGGAGCCTCGTGAAGCCCGCCGGCACGTGGAGTTCGCGGCGACAAGTGGCGAACAGGCCATTATGGCACCCATGCCACTCAAGCCGCAACGCCCGCCCTGCTTCGACCCAAGCCAACGTGGAGGTCCGACGGTTCAATCGTGGGTTTTCACGATGAACGTCTTCTTCGACGCGAATTACGTCGAGTCGGACGCAGCGAAGATTCGGTCTGCCGTTTCGCTGGTAAGGGGCCCCGCCATGGACTGGTGGCGAGTCATCGTGACGTCGCCACGCGCCTACGAGCCACCGTCGCAAGAGGAAGGGCCCACGGGTCCAGCTGTCACCTGGAGTTCATTCTGCGAGACCGCCCAATACAGCACGTGGGATGCGTGGTGCGCAGGGCTTCGGGCGCGCTTCGAGCCGATCGCGGCTTCTATTTCGGCGCCTCAGAGATTGCGCACTTGGCGGCAGCTCGGGTCGGTTCAAGATTACACGAGCGGTTTTCTCGCACTTTGCGAGCAGGTCAGCTACATGCACGAAGCGGAGCGGGTCGACCGTTACGTCGGAGGGCTGAAGCCGGATATCTCGCACGAAATCATGCTGCGCGGACTCTCAAACTTCAACGAGATTCTTATTAAGGTACTAGAGTTTAGTAGGCTTAGGAGCCATGGGTTTAAGTGACTTAGTGGTGAAGTTCGAGGGTAAGGAAAATGTCGAGAGAGTTGAAAAGGAGAATGGCTACAATATGAGAAACAAGTACAAGTTATAGTTCAGGAAGGGTGCACCACCAAGCAAGAACAAATGTATGACTACACTACAGCTAGAACTACATGCAGTTATATATAATTCTGACAATTCTCGCGCTCGCCGAGAAAATCGACATCCTACGCCGACCGAGACCGGGGTCCTACTACGGACTGTCAGATTTATATGACATAGCTACTGTAGGCTATAGTGGGGTAGCACATATGGGGTACAGCTTTCTAGGGTTTGTACTTGTACCCAACTTTCCCTTAGTCATTTCATTCTCGTTCAATTTCACGTGGTATAGAGCAGGTTCCCCTGTGGGAACTGTTCCTAGGGCCCACCGTTTTTTTTTTTCCTGCCCGGAGCGCGCTCAGCCTCTGCCCGAGTCGCGCTCCCCTCTCACGACCCCGTCGCGCCGCCCTTACGACCCCATCGCGCCGCCTTAGCGGCCCCGTCGCGTCGCGCCTCCCTAGCGGCCCCGTCGAGTCGCCCTTGCGACCCCGTCGCGCCGCCCTCGCGGCCCCATCACGTCGCGCCGCCCTCGCGGCCTCGTCGCGCCGCCCACGCGGCCCCGTTCCGCCGTCCTCGCGGCCCCGTCGCGTCGCGCCGCCCTTGCGGCCCTTTCGCGCCGCCCTCGCGGCCTCTTCGAGCCGCCCTAGCGACCCCTCCAAGCCGCCCTCGCGGCCCCGTCGCCAGCCCTTGCGGCCCCGGCGCCTACCCTCGCGGCCCCGTCGCCTACCCTGCGGCCCCGTCGCCTACCCTATTGGCCCCGGCGCCTACCCTGCAGCCCCGGCGCCTATCCTGCGGCCCCGTCGCCTAACCCTGCGGCCCCGGCACCGCCCTTCCCGGCCCCGGCGCTGCCCTTCCTGGCCCCGGCGCCGCCTCTGCTGGCCCCGTCGCCTACCCCTACGGCCCCGGCACCGCCCTTCCCGGCCCCGGCGCCGCCCTTCCCGGCCCCGGCGCCGCCTCTGCTGGCCCCGTCCCCTACCCTGCGGCCCCGGCGCTACCCTTCCCGGCCCCGGCGCTGCCTCTATCGGCCCTGCCGCCGTCCCCACGCGGCCCCGCCGTCACCACCGAGCCGCCGGCGCCGCCGACCTACTACCGAGCCGCCCGAGCCACCTGAGCCGCCAGAGCCGCCGAGCCGCCGAGCCGCCCGAGCCGCCAAGTCGCCGAGCCGCCAAGGCGCCGAACCGCCGAGCGGCCCGAGCCGCCCTGTCCGGTAAAAGCAACGCCTCTGTCACTGCACTGCCCTTACCCTACTGTTCGCGCTGCTAGTCTACTGCTGTCATGGCTACCCCTAGTGTCCTCGCTTTTGACGCTGAGGGTCGGGCCATTGACTTTGACGTCTGGGTAGATGACCTGCAGCTTTTCCTACAGTGCGATAGGGCAGACGGTCTCTCCCTCTTTGACCTCACTTCTGGTGCCTCTCCTGCCCCTGGTGCTGATGCTGACGCCACTATTCGCTCACAGTGGGCCACACGCGATGCTGCTGCACGTCTTGCTATGCGTCGCCACTGCACGCTACTCCTCCCCTGCCACTGCTGCACTGAGCCGTCTCATGCTACTGTACCTCTTCCCTGACCTTGCTGCCTTTCCCACAGTCGCTGACCTCATTACGCACCTCCGCACTAGTGACACTCGCTACCACGCTGCGCTTCCTGCTGAGTTCTGCGCCAAGAACCCCCCCCCCCCCCCCATGTACATCACCCTCTACTACATAGTCACCCGGCTCCCTGACTCCCTTCGCGTAGTCAGGGACCACTTCCTCTCAGTTTGCCCCACCACTCTCACCGTTGACCTCCTCGAGAAGGCCCTCCTAGCAACAGAGAAGAGCATAGTAGCTGTAGGAGCCTCTCGTGGTGACCCTCGCACCCCCATCTTTGAGGGGTGTTCCCCCTCCCCCCTTTTGCCCTCTGTTGCCTCTGCTGCTGCGGCCGACCTCGTTGGTCTTGAGTCGGTCGGTGCGGCATCTACCCCTAGCGGGAGACGCCGCCCTGGCAAGGGCAAGGGGGGCAGGGGCGCTGGAGGAGCTAGCGGGGGCGGTGGAGGCGGCGGTGGAGGCGGCGGAGGGGGTGGGAGTGGCGGTGGGGGTGGTGGCGGGGGTGGAGGTGTCGGTGGCGGCAGTGGAGGCGGAGGCGGCGGCGGTGGTGGCGGTGGGAGCGGAGGTGGCGGAGGTGGCGGCGGTGGAGGAGGCGGTGGCGGAGGAGGTGGAGCTGGTCGGGGTGGCGCTGCGCAGAGGGTCGGCTCCGGTGGTGGTCAGCGCCAGCAGCAGCAGCAGCAGCAGCGCACTCGTGACATCCCCCCCCCTCAGCAGCTCCGTGAGTGGTACGCTGCACGCCAGCGGGGTGGGGGTACTGGTCCGTGCACCTACGTCCTACGCACCGGCGACCGCGCGGGTGAGCAGTGCGGGGGTGCGCACTCCACCGAGCGCTGCTTTGGCCGCCTGACGGACGCTTGGCGTCACCAGTTCCCGGAGGCCGCTGAGATCCCCCGCTGGGGCGAGCTGTCTAGGGCGGGGGTAGCTGTCTTTGACCTTGACTTTGATGCTATTCTTGCTGCCATGTATGCTGTGACTATTAGTGATGAGGGTGAGTGTTACCGGTGTTTTCCGCCCGACCCGGGCATTGAGACTGTTGCTCTAGGTACTGGTGAGGCTGCTGCTCTAAGTGCTATCGAGGCTGCTGCTCTAGGTTCTCGTGCGTGTGCTCCCTCAGGTGCTGGTGAGTCTGCTCTCTCAGGTACTGCGCCGGCTTCGGCCTCCCACACCTTCACCCTTGACTCAGGGGCTTCTCGCTCCTTCTTTCGAGACCGCACCATACTCACGCCGCTTGGCCGGCCAGTTGCTGTCTCTCTGGCAGACCCCTCTGGGGATCCTGTCCTTGCTCACTTCTCCACTGTCCTCCCGTGTCCGGCGGCCCCCTCTGGCACCCTGTCTGGCCTTTACCTCCCCTCGTTCTCTACGAACTTGGTGAGTGGTGCTGACCTACAGGATGCGGGGGTTCACCAGTTCACTCCTCCGAGTCAGCGGGTGACCCACTGCACGGACGCTCGGACAGGTTGACACCTGGCCACGTTTACACGTCGGCCGAGGTCGAGCCTGTACACACTGACCACTGCGTCTCCTCCAGTCACTGTGTCTGGTCAGGTAGCTGCGTCGGGTAAGGTGTTTGCTGTAGCGTCCAGGTCTGGTCCTAAGTCTGCCCTCGCCTCGTGTCGTCTCCTCTGGCACCACCGCCTTGGTCACCCCTCCCTGCTTCGTCTCCGAGGCATGGCCTCCCGTGTCCTTGTCTCTGGTCTTTCCCGGTC